TTTTAAACGCAAAAGAATTTCTATCTAAAAGGAAAGTCTGTTTTCAAGCATCTGGAAGTCATTTAAATTTTAAATACTCATTATGCTTAATTATAGTCATGAAGAGCACAAAGTCAGATGATTCTCATGACCTCAGACTCCTATCACCTTCCATTCAAGTAGTTGTCACGTATCAGGCACTACTAAGAGCTAATCATTTCCTACCAAGTTATGATTAACTCCCTAAAAACAGGGAAGCTTGGGCCAAAATTCCTCCTTCCCACATTCTGCAGCTCTGTCTGTCCACTTCCATTCAGCAAAGGCACGGTCCAAGCTTACAACTGGATTAAACATTTTTATAAATGAATGAAACATTTTTATTTTTATGAAAGACTCCAAACACCATTCTTTTATAGGAACAGAAGGAGAGGCATTAGCATTGTATTCCAAGGCACCATTTTGAGAACATGTACACAGCAGTGTCTGCACACTTTGGAATGCAGAGCAGCCATCTAGTTACTATTCACAAAAGACAGGTAAGTCAAAGAGCACACTGAACCTCCTGTTTGACCCTGTTCATCTCAAAATCTTAAAAATCAGAGAATAAAGTTTGGAGATTTGGGGTACCTCGGTGGTGTTTCAAATTTAGAAAAAAATGAAGATAATTTTAAGCTTGTTTCCTTAAGTTAAGCAATATGAGAGGCGACAAGAGCTTAAGTGGTAGTATTTTATGTTTGTTTAGTTCATTAGTTTTGGTCTAGAAATAGCTTTTGTTAACTGGCTCCCTTCTAAGCGCAGCAGCTCTGAGAGCTTGTGTTCTCTTACCCATTATTCCAAATACACACATCTCCTAAACCTTACAAGACTTACTCATCTGCTAAATTAAGATATAACTTTTCAAAACTGCCCTGAGAACAAAACCAGAAGTGCCATCTCCTATTTTAAAGCACCAACCCTTTGAGTTTGGATCATATCCTCCAAGGGGTCCTTATTCCAGTATGTGAATGTTTATAATGTCAGACCTACAGGGAAAATGGATCTCCCTTCCTTCCTTCCTTCTAGACATCTGACCCTTGGAAAAAAAGCATGGAGTTGATGCAAAGTGAAGACTATAATAAACTGTTTTCAAATTAAGAATATTCTCAAATCCAATAAGCTCTTCCTTGGAAAACAAGCCCCTAAAACAAACCAGTTCTGTTGTTTTTAGTTTGTTAAAAGTATTTTTAGACAGTTGCTTAAAAATGGAATATTGCTAAATTTATTTGTTCCTTCCAGAAAGAATCAGACATAACTAAAAAATTAAAATGACATAAACTCACAGGAACAAAGTAAACAGGAAAGAAGCTATCAGTAGGTGAGCAATGGCACTGGAAGAACAGGAAACATTGGGGAAAGTGGCAGAATGGAAAGCTGAATAACCAGTGCATGCAGAGAAGCAAGTCAATTCTCAGCATGATGCACCCGGAATCCCAGGTACAAGATGTGCCATGTCCTGGTGGAGGAATCTGGGGGGCTGGTCCAAACTTTGACCCTCCACACTGGCAGAATCTGGTGGCATATTTTGGGGAATTATGCTGGTCCAACTGCACAAGATGAGAGGACTCCACGTATGAGACAATGTAAGAGAAACTATAAACTATAATGGAAGCAACTTGATTCATTAAAACTTACACACTGAGTGCCAAGCAACTGGAACATGGGCTGCAGGTGGTTTGCTCTCAGGAGGGTACAAATACTGACATCTAGAGGAATACAGCAAAACAGCAGGATCCACAGCTAGAAACCCACACAGTACATCCTACAGCAGAGAACAAGAAAAGCCTACCTCCTTCCCATGAGTTTCAAGTGTCTACAACATATAAGGAGAGCCAGAAACCTCTCCTGCAAAGCCTCAAACACCAAGACAAAAAAAGAAAAAAAGAAAAGAGCAGACAACAGAAAAGGGGCAAAGCAAAGTAAAACAAAACAATCAGAAAACATGACATTCCCAGAGACATACAGATACTGACTACATCCAAGAAACAAGACATTTTACTGGAAGGGCTGGCAGACAAAGGGGAAGAAATAAACACCTCACCCAGAAAGCAAAACAAAAAAACCAAAGAAATAAAAAAATAGGAGTAAAGGAGGAAAATTGGAGCTTCAGACCACCATTCAAGATGCGAATACAGGAACTCCTGAAACAAAGACAAATGAAAACTGGGGAGAAAAAGTATGAAAAATCCAAGAAACAATACAAAATCATTTCCCAGGATAGAAGTGCTTGGTTTTTCTAATTAAAAATAGTTTACCAAGGGCCCAGCATGAAGAATGAAAAGCAGACATACATGACATACCACACAATCTTGAAATACAAGAAGGCTGATGATTTTAAAAATAATAGTGTAAATTTGAAGATTAGTCTATCCCTCCCCAAAAGGCCACWTATGAAACTGGTAACATGGTACTGCATTTCTGCACATTCTGTGTGCAGATTTGCACACAAAAAAAACCCAATGCTTCAAATTATTAAAAAAAATTAATTTAAAGCTAGAATTCTATACCCAGCTAAACTAGGTATCTGAGTATGAAAGTAGAATAGACCTTTAGACTTGGAAGGGCTTTACAATGTTACCTCACATGTATTTTTGCATTTGGAATGTATAAGAACCTGTGACCATTCAATTAAATGTGTTGAGCAAGAAAGAAAAATGCATGGCATCAAATAAACCAGAGAAAATGAAGGCAAGGAGCGGGAAGATGCTGCTAGACATATAGCCCATTCTTTAGGACATCCAGAAAGCTGGGGGCAGGGGCGGGGGACAGGTCTCTAACAGGAAGTGGAAATGTTAAATTGACTGACATGTAGTATTAAGTTAGATCGCATGCTTTTAGACATAAGTTTCTAAAGATCCAATTCACAATTACCTAAGTGAAAAATGGGGGTCTATTTTCTTATATAACCAGATCTTCATCTAGCACAGCTTCAGTTGATTTATGTAGCAGTTAAATATCATCAAGTTATAGATTATTTCTAGCTCTTGCTCAGTAACTGTTGGCTATCTTTTCTCTCGGTTGCAAGATGTTGCAACAGCTCAGGCACTGKTTGCACTGAAGGGACTCTTCCTGTGGGGCTAGGGTCTTAGAAACCTTTCTCAGGAATACCATCTCTTTCACAGTTCACTGGCTGAGCTCCTTCCTAAATCAATCACTGACTTAAAGAATGCAGCCCCAGGATTAGTTTACACCAGTGCTTTTCTGCACAAAACAAGGGAACAGGTGTATAGTTGGGCAAGTAATCTCACATTTATAACCCACTTGAGACACTAGTTGGAAAACATGGAACAGGACAGCTAATCCACATGGAAAGAAATAGAAACAAGGGCATCTCACTAGGCTAAAGAGGAAAATGGCCATCCTGTAGTTGTTAATGGAGCCTATGAGGGAAGTTTAAGCAATTCTGGTTATAAAAAAAAATTAAAAATTATGTAAATGAAAACAAATGAGACAGTGATTTATTCTAGGAAAAATAAAATGGCAGAAGAAATGAAAGTTCACTGCTTGATTCAATATTTAACAATTTTTGTAGATGTAATATCATAAATCTTTTGACTGATGCAATTCTACTGGGAAGTGAGAGGGAAGGGGAGGATTAGTGGTGGTAAAGTTCTTAATCTGTATTTTTTTATCATAGGAAGCCAGAAGACAACATCTAAAACTGAAAGATTAAAAATAAACACTATAAAAATACGATATTTAGAAACGGCACAGCTAATAACAACTAGAAGTCATTCTGGAGAGGATAAGACAGGGATATTGAGGAGGGGGTGGAAGAGGTGGCTACTTTTTATGTTTTACAAAAGTACTTTTTAAATTATTTACGTTATTTTATATTTTTACTTTCAAAGATGAAAAAAAATAGCCCTGCCCCTAGCCTCTGAATGGGCCCTTTATATGAACATAAATCACAATGTATTAGTAAAAGGCAAGCTGTAATGTAGCCTTCTCCCCATTCACCTCCTCACACAATGCCCAATTCCCCCAGCTGCCCCACCCCATACCCTGAGACTCAGAGGGTGGTAGTCAGGAAGAAATTCGTGTGAAAAGTTATAGGTATCCGCTCTTCTGTTCTTTGAGAAGAGTTCACACACCCTCGCAGGAGAGAGGGTAATGAAGACTAGGCAGCTTTATGTTAGGAGTACTACGGGGACCCCACAGTCTGGATAGGAAAGCTGCACTCACTTCTCCAGGAGTGTAAACTGCAGTTGACAGGCATGACTGGGTGTCCTGTTTTATCAGACTACTTGAGACAGAATCAAGACATGTACTGAAAGCAGCATGGCTACATGAGCCCCACTGACCTACCTGCCCTTCTAAGTTCTGCTGTTCAGAGCCAACTATAACATTCAGACATGCTATTTGCACTCAGACTTCTGCACTAGAACAATTTTGTATCTTTTTGCCTTTTACTGTATAGACTTTTGACTATTTTAGTGCCAATCCAAAGGTAGAATGTCTTATCACAAGGAGCTTATTTACTTATAAGACCCAAATCCAGAGACAGGGAGATATTCCCAGTGACCCTTACCTTAACACTGTTATCCACTGTGATCCTCTAATTCATCTAGCACATTTCCTGTATGAGCTTAATTTACCGAAGTAGCTTTCAAAGAAAACTTAATATGGAACTCAATCCACAGAATAATTAGAATGCCCTCATTAAAGGGTCCCCCACGGCTTCCTACACTTCAGTTCAAAACCATTAATTCCCATCTAACTGATCCCACCAAAGACACCCATTGGCTCTTCTTTTCCATATTCTGGCTTGCTTTGGCACCAATGGTCCTCTCAAGTCTCAACTGCTCCAGGAAGCCTAAGTACATGCTCATTAAAGGTGTCTTCTCCCCTGAACCAACTCATTCAACCACACTTTATAGATATTTGGTCCCACCATATAACCACATAGGATTTCTAAACTTTCTAAGTACTGCCACACATTGTGATCTGCTTATTACTCAAAATGAGAGAGCTGTAATTTAAAAAATAAAGACCATTTTTAGAAATAATTTTATATAAACAGATTCTTATACAAAGAAGAAACAAATGTACAGAGCTCCCAAATTACAAAAAGGTGGACTCTTGCCATTCTTTTCTGTGTTGGGAAGAGAACAGAGAATGGGAAAAAATGATTCCATTGTTTTTTTAATTCTTTCCACCTACGTGGTCAGTTTCTCAAGTAGAGTTTCTATTCCTTTGCTTTTACTTTTGTTTTTTTCCAACGTGGGAATCAGGCTTTTCAGCCCAGCTTTGACTTTGTTTGCAACTTCTTGGTCAGAACTCTGCAGAAGACTGAAGACAGAAGAAAAATTAACAATAGTTAATTAAAAAAAAAAAAAAACCCTAGATAATTTGCAATACTACCAGTACCCACAGTATAAAATATTTCACTAATGTTGAAATGAATCTTCTAACTATATACACTCTAATTTTTTTTTTGTTCACCAGATGAATAGGGCCAGTAGTCTATATATTCTAAAACCATATAAGAATGTTTTATAATCTTGCAGGTAGAGTCATTCAAGCAAAGATTTAAATGACTCTGATTATCACAGTATTTAATTATATCCTGCCTTAAATTATTCTACATGCCTTTTATCTTTTCTTTACTATCTATATTATAAGCTCAAGAGCAGAGTCCCTGTGTTTTCTTTCCTCTTTTTAATTTTATTTTATTAATCTACTCATCTTTTTTACTCAAGAAAAGATGAGTAGATTAATTAACCCAATTGAATGCGTATACAGGAAGCCTAAGTGGGGTCATGAAAGGTAAGAGACAGCAAGCCTTCTCACTGAGCTCTACAACATGCAGTTAAGGAGAAAGAGTTTCACTGCCTGAGTGTGAAATGTTATAACTACACAACTAAAAGCATGATATTTAAATTCTCTAGGATTTAGTTTCCTGATCTGTAGAATGGGATTTACAACAGAATCCACTCTTTTCAGTTGGTTGTTTCTTTATGGTGTAGAAATAGAACCCAGGGTCTTGCACATGCTCAGCACACACTCTACCACTGTGTTACACTCAAACCCCTACAGGGTTCTATTTTGAGTCTCAAATTTTCTTGGCACTTAGCAAACAATAAATGTTACCCACTCAATAAAATAATCTGAAACCTTGTTTAAGTGTTTTGCCACCAAAGTGAATAGAGCTGGGAGACTAGTAGCAGTAGGCCCATTCCTTTTACTGGGGCCATGTTATAGGCACCTCACCACAGAACACATGCCCGAGTTTTCTGTTCTTCCCCTGCTTCTTCAGGACCACATGTAAATGCTAGCCTCTGAAACACAGTCTAGAAGGAAATTAGTTGGTATTTTCAAAAGTCCCAGAACCCAATAACTTTCATCATGTCAGCAAAGAGGAGGGCCAGTTATTAGCATTAAGCAGCATTCCACTGCTGGTGGGAGACAAGCAATAGAACTACTTGCCATCTGAAAAATTGAAAATGATGAAAAGTGAAGTACCCTTTTAATGGATTTGTGACTCATGTGGTGTTTTAATTTTATTGGCTAAATAGTTACATAATGTATACCACTAATACAAGATAACATTTAACACAGTAAACATAATGACAGGCATTTTATATGCATGGTTTTCATAACAGCTTTAGAATTATTAGTAATCTCATTTTCAATCAAGAAAAACCAAAAAAGTTCAATATTTTCCCCAAGGCTACCTATAATCTGGGTCTGGAGGCCAGGCAGCCTATCTAGAGCCAAAGCTCTTACATGATGGGAAGCTCAGCTTCCCTGAGTTATTGTTCTGCTGATGTACAAGGCTGATTCTCTCTTTCCACTCAAAATAAGTCTTTTTCATTTGCTATAAAAAGGTACAGCACCAAAAAGACAAACATCAATAAACAACTACAACAACGAAACACATCAAGATTTCCAAATCACAAGTTTTAAGTAAAATATAAATAAGCAGGAGATTTTATCAAATAAATAAAATACTGCAATATTCAAAAAATAATAATTGTACTAATTAAGTTACATATAGTTCAACTTCAGTTTAGAACCTCCAAGTCTTTCATGTCTTCCTGTACTAGTTCCAAATAGTACCCCACGATAAACCTGTAGTATTCTTATGTTTGAAATCTACTCAAGAGGAACTCTAATAAAGTACCTTTATAAATTAATTTCATAGTATCAATGAAATTTCTATTTAATTGAGAGTAATGAAAGAATGTGTCAGTAGGTGTTAACTTTCTAAATGTCTGGTAAAGAAATTAATAACAAAAAGTTCGTGTTTCAGCTAGTGAATTTTGACTGTTCAACATCAACTAGAAAATTAACTAACATTAATGAGAAATGAACAAAATGATCTACATGAAACACTCATGTACTTGGGGGTACTAATCAACCAGAAAAAAAAAAAAGGGAGGCTTTTATGAATGTGTGTGTTGAGAGTATATGTGCACAAGATCAAATTATATATTGAAGAAACATTTAACCTTACATCTGTAAAAAATATTGTTAAACTGCAAAGCGAGTACAAATGAATTATGGTAGGAGATTCAATCTAGGATTAGTATCTGTTTTCCAAAACCATGGCAGCACAGCAGGGGAAGAATCAACAGTGACTGCCTCAAAGTAACACACAAATCTTATAAAACAAAAGCTTTAAACAGAGGGTTTCATATGGGCACAAAAAGCCTGGAAATTCAATGACCTGTAAATTATTAGAAAAAAATTAGCATACAGATTTTAGAAACAAATGCTTTCCTAATCCATTTAGAATCACTAAAAACAAAGAAAATTACATGTAAAGTTAGGCATGACTTAAAAAAAAAAAATCAGGTTTGTCACTGCTTCCTAAGGGACACAAATTACTTACAAATTTTATATATATATATAAAAATAAATAAATAAATTATGTTTTGGTCAAAACCATCATATAATGCCTTGTGAGTGTCATCATTTTGTGATCTCTGATATCCAAAAGATGGCAGTAAAAGAAATCATAAGGACAACTGAAAAAGCAACATTTGCTTTCTAATATTTGATCTACTTGTCTAGACTATGGACTAATTAGTAAAGACTAATGCCAGATTACTAGGAACAAGTATTAGAGCTGTGRGGTAAAGGGGAAGGAAGTGTACCTTTGTATGACTGGGTCCTGAGCACAGAAGAAACATGATCTACCTACCTGGAAAGAATAATGGCACCTCGATTTATACTAGCCCAGGACTTCAGGTTCTTCATACCAACATGTTCTACCAGTGTTTTTGCAAAACATCCTATAAAGATATACTGAAACTTAGTGAACTTCACTTTTTTTAAGATTTTAAGTTTTCATATTGGAAAAAAAAAGCAGTGAAAGACAGCTTCAAATTCCTATTCTTATAGGGGGAGTGAGAAGTGGCAGCTCTACTGCTATACTAGTCGCCTCACTAGCTAGAGAGATGTAATTTTCGTCTTAATTCACGCACCACCTTTTTCAGACAGTTCATAGCCGAAACTTTTCATCTGGTAGGAAAAAAGTGGCTTAAATACCACATGGAATGTGAATACAGTAAAAAAGGTCAGGTTAAAGACAGGACTAAGAGGGGAATAGTATACAACATTTTAAATACAAGATGCTGTTCTCTTTATAGATGAGTTTCTACAGAGCAGCTATAAGGCTTATTTAAAAAGTGCCAAGGACTGGCTTGCCCTTTGGTCACACACATTCAATGCCAAATAAACAGGCAGCTGTCCAAAATTCTCTGATGAGGATAATATTCTTCAGCTTATTCTTTTCTCAAAACTAGAGATTAAAAACCAGGCCTTTTCATTGGGGGTAATGCTACACTATCTGCCAGGAACAGAATGGCATTCAGGGCAATGACCAAGTCTGGTTAAAAATCTGAAGTAGCAGAGGAGGAAAGAGAGAAAGCATGAGGGAGGGTGGGAATGAGGAAAAAAAAAAAAAACTATAGGATTCTCGGACACAAGTTTTTATTCACAGACATCATTTCTAGACACTTGACAAACTTCATATGAACTTACTGGGCCAGTGTAAAGTTCAGTGATGTCAGGAATTATAGAAATTCCACATAGGATGCAAGAAAAGGACAAGTTGCATGGCTTACCTTCTTTTCCATTTTCTTTCATCTTTTTATCTTGTTCTATTAACCATTTCAGAACTAGATGTCCTGCAGGATGTTCTGCAACATGAAGCTACAGGGGATCAAGAAGAGGCTAATTCAAACATCTGTTTTCACCCACACCTTGGYCCAAGATTCAACCTATATAACCACACGTAGGTAAGGATAAAGTCAAGTTTCAAGTTCCACAAGGCTTAAGAAGTCTTTATCTAGAATATTCTTATAGCTAGAGGCACCAGAGATAGGCTGAAATGAACTTGGTTATGCAAGAATGCAGCTCCTGCAGGGCAGGGCACATTTGGCTTCCTGAATTCAAGTCCAAACCACACCACCCAAAACTACACTCAATGGCAATTCTGTAGTTCTGAGGTGAGAATAAACTTCTGAAACAGAATACCACAGCAGAAACACTGAAACCTAATTTTGAATGATGAATGGTGTTTAAATACATGTGACTACAATGATCTGAGCAGGTCAAGAAAAAACTGTTTTAGCTCAACTTGACTCCTTTTTAAGGGCCACACCAATCATTTCCATCTGGGGACTCTGCATATGAAGTATGGGAAACAATGGCACAATCTCCTTACAGAGAAACTTCCGATACACACTGCTCATTCCCACTTGGTAATATGAACTGCTTCAGGAGGGCAGAGGCCAGGGCTGCACTTCTCCTTCCCAATTCTATGCGTCAGAAGTATGCCATACACTAAATACATGGCATCATTTTCATTCAGAACCAAATACATATTGGTACAAAACATTTCCAAATGCCAGGCTTTGGTCTAGATGATTTAAAGCTGAATACAATATAACTGCTGCTATGGAAAAGGATCTCAACTGTTCACTCAACAGCACCTCCCTTGTCAGCTTTCTTTCCTGCYAACACCTCACCCAGCCACCCACCTTCTCTAAAGCTCCCTTTTTACTTTCAGGGGATACCTCCTGACTGGTCTGATGCAGTTCTGTTCATCCAAACTGCTTCTGCCAGAGATTGGCCCACAAGTGAATGTGATCTAGTTCTAGCCAATAAAATGTCAAGAAAGACTGGGAACTTGCCAGACCCAAGAGGAAGACTCTTGCTCTTTCCTTCCTGCTTGGGACTCTGATGTGTGGACTTGGGCTAAGGTTGTGAATGCTAGCAAATGCAATGCAAGAATAGCTGCAAAGATGTTAAGAGTGAGCCAGGAAGGTGGAATCTGGCATTGTGAGGCACTACTTTTATTACGGTAATTAACTATCTAACAGCTACCAAGAGGCAACTTATCATTTAAGCCAAAACACTCCTTTCTAGAGCAACTACCCATAGTACTAGTTAAAAGTCCTTGGACATAGACTAAAATTCAGATGTTACATTTAGTTCCCATCACATCCTGAACATAATTCAATATGAGAATTGACTTTTACTACTTTAACACCTTGCTTATATGTCTCACCAATGGACACCAGGCTCTAAGGACAAAGACCCTGTCATTTCATCTTTGAATACCTTTTAAGCATTTAGAACAGATTTATTCAAAGCAAAGAACTTAAGTAATCTATTTTTTTTTAATCTTAAAACTGTAATACTAGGGATAATAATGGAGGGCCACTGTGAGGATTGAGATCAAGGATTTGTAACTCTAGGCGACAGTAGAGGCCACTGACTCAGAAAACAGTAGGTTTACCATAAATACGTTAGAAGCTTTGGGAGCTTATAAACCAACCCAACACAAAGGCCCAGTATGTCCTGGCCTCTGCCTTCTTCTTCCTCTGCTTGACAATTTCCATTCCCACTCCACCTTCCTGTTCTCAAACTGCTGCACTTGTGCTCCCTCAGCCTGGAATCTTCTTTCTACTATTTCTTGATGAGCTTCAAGTCTCAGCTTAGCTTTCCCTACCTTCAGAAAACCTTCTTGGAATGGGTGGCTCTTACAAAATTCCCTAAAACCTGTAGTTGTCCTTCACAGTTTTCACTTAGAATACTAACATTTTGTTTTTATTCTGTAGCTAACATGAATCATTATACATTTCTAAGAAATACAAGTACTGTAAAGGCATGTCGTTTTGAATTCCCAATTTTCAAATGTACTGTCAGTGTGAGGAGGATTAATTGTTGTTAAAACTCTTTGGAGTGATGAACTGACTTGAGTTTTTATAGCCCCCGCAACTTTCATGCCTCTCTTAAAATAGCACATTACCTCTCCGTCCTTGCCACCAGGATGTAGTTCTGCTGCCGCCAAGCTGGCAATGGCATTCATGGCAGGCTGAACATCTCCAATGGCAGATCCCAGAATATCAGACACCAACACACATGCAGACTTATCTAGCACCACCTCTTGGGCGTGTCCTTGCAGGTAGCTTAACAAAGCTGGAGAAATGGATTCTAAGAGCTCACGACGGCGGATCTCTGTGTCTTTTTTACTATAGGAATATGTTGAATGAAGTATTATGGTAAGAAAATTAGAAAAGGAAATAGTAATCTTATTATCACAAAAACCTTAGGCAATTATCATTGTCTGTGTCACAATCTATTGTAACTGTTAACAATTCTACTGAGCATATAGACAACAGGTGACTTGAGGCTGGAAGCTTAGTTTATGCAATACAACAACAACAAAAAAAACACTCAARCAAAAGCCCAAACTCCCAGACAACAATGGATTATTCCATAAGCTAACACATGCTTAAGACTACTGTATGGACTCTACTCCTTTCCTTGGGTACTCAAAACCAGAGTAACAGTAGTTCTGAAAATAAAGCAAACAAAAAACAAACCATGCACCTGAATACCCGCTATGTACCAGGGCTCAGAGGTGTTCTTTTGGCATGACACTTTTATTTCCTTGTCAAGTTAAGAACTTTAGAATCTGTCAAAATTACAGGAATGAAACAAAATTCACCTTTTGGGTTTTTTTAAGACATAGAGTAAGAGACAGAGTATGGATGTGTGACTATACATTTCTGGAAGTATAGACTACTCTGATTTCATGAACAGTCAAAGAAAGAAAAGAAGGACTCAAAGCATTCTACTAATTTTTACCTGTGTGCATTACCATCTCCTTTTTGCAGAACTTCAATGATTTCTGGTACTGTATGTGCAGGATCTCTTGGACTCAGTAAATACAAAAGGACCTTCCTTCCATATTTGTCATTTACTATGTTTGGCAAGGAACTGATAATTTCCTATAAAATTATAAATTAAAAAAACCTTTATGTATATCTACAAATTATGGTTGAGATTTGAATGGTAATGAAGAATAGACATATGACTATTTTCCAGTGTATTTAATGGAAAATGGAGTGAGTTCTGAACTGTCACATTAAAACACAAAGAGATTCACGTTTGGAGCATAGAGTCAATTCTCTACTGTCACCAGTATCACTAAACAATCCATTTATATTAACTGACTAAGACCAAGGACTTAAAACCTATTTAAAGTAGTTATCTTCATTCATTATGCCAGTATTTCTTAGGCCTATTCCTAGGGACAGTTCTTGCTTGAGTCACTGAGTAGATGGTTAATTTGTAGCTGCACTTAACCATAGCCTCAATGAAGAACATCCTTCTCAGAACTTCTCTGCTGAGACTATGTGAGGGAGATACAAAAACTGTAAAACAGAAAAAAAAAAAAATGGATAAAAGCCTTTAAAGTTAGGTTGCTCGTTCATGGTGAATGAAGGCTATTTAATTATTATAGTAAAAACAAGAACAGAGTGGGAATGGAAAGTAAATCCAGAAAGACTCCACTGAGTAGTTACAAATTACCCTGTATGACATTTTCAGTCAATATACACAGGCACAGGAACTTCCTTTTCTAGTGGCTGCAATCGAAGTGACAAAAGCAATGTTGCCCCATCTCAACTGAGGGCCTACGTAAATCTGATGTTTTCAAAGACAGAAAGTCACTGTTTAAAAATTCCTTTATTCTTGATAGAGAAAACACAAAGAGAGAAYATCTGCTTTCCCCCACCCTTAACATTCTTGTTTCTTGTAATAAACTTTATATGCAAATGCACGTTTCTCAGTACCAAAGATTCTTAGAAGTGGCTGAGGCCAAAGGAAGAATTCAGTTCCATTGGCCATGTTTACAGATGAGGCACTCAGAAGGGAGAAATGACTTGCCAGAGGCCATGTAGAATCATTACTAGGGTCCTGACCAGTCTTAGTACCCTGACTCTAAATCTAGTCTCCTTCAAAGAAATCGTACAATCTTTTTTGAAGAGGACTTATTTATAAAATCATATTCAGGTCTGCTCTTTTCCAATTTGACTATTTATTATGATAAAATTACTAATTTTAGTGAAAGAAGGAAACTAGACTAAGTGAGTTATGAACCATGAGGCCACAATACAGAAAACGTCAAGATTCCATGGTTGATGATGAAACTCCAGATTTCCATGTATTATGTTCCTTTTTTAAAAAATCCCAAGCTTCCCTCATATTTTTGCATAAAAGTATGTTTCTGATAATTAGTAATAGTAGCTAACATTTGTTAAGTGCCACTAGGAGCCAGACACTGTTGAAAGCTGTACATCTATCATGTTAAATGACATTCACCACAGTGCCTGTTTAACATGACTCCAATCCTCACTTAGCTCTCCTAACTACTTCTCAAGAAGTTTAAGGTCACGTCATAATGATTCCTACATAAAACATACAAGTTTCCAGAATGGATTCAATAAATCTAACCACCTCAAAATGAATATATAATTTCAATCACCCTGAGAAATGAACTTAAAACTTCCATAATGCAAGGGAAGATGAACCAAAAAACTTTCCAAACTTATTGTAGAATAGGGAGCTTTTTTATATGTGTTTTTGATGATGGCATTTGATGCCCCATACGGGTGGGTAGGGGGGACCTCTAGTATATCCTCAGGTATCTGTTTTAAACTTCCATCAACTMGGACAAGAAGACTCATCTTTTAAAMATCTGCTCTTTAATCTGTTAATTCATTTCAAGATAGGGTTGAGAATGATACAATGGTTGGGTCAATTTCCACAGTCTTAACAAAAACAACAATCCTTTGCTGTCCTTTAAAAATAACAGAAACCTCTAGAGTTAATACCTTTAAAACTTGGGTGACATAAGTGTCAAAACAAAGCATGGGGATATACAGTAAACAACTATAATGGTTACTATTGGACTGACCTAATATATGTGGCTTGGGCAGAAATAGTTTTGGAACACAGAAGCTAGAACTTCAAGAAACGTATAAAATCCATGCAAAAATATATTCAAGGACTAGACTCTGAATTCACTGATCTTTACTACCTTTTGGTTCATAATTAACAAATTTAGAATTTAAACTCATGTTTAATTAAAATCTTGAAAATATGTAATATTTATAACACAATTTTGTGAAACTCAAAACATTTACTTAAATATGTAGTATTTAATTCTCCATTTTGCCTTCATGACACTTTTTCCTACCTCTGAAATTATATATATTTGAAAAATACAAAGAAAACAGTATGTGAGTGTTGCAAATCAGAGATTTCTAGATCATTGCCTGGAGAATACCATTAACACAGATAAATAGGTAGGAGATGGCTATGACATAACTGATTGTGTGCTTAATTTGATCTCTGAAGTCTTCAAGTCAAGTTAGAAGCCTTTGGCAAATCCTTTGACCTCCCTGCCCATTAATTCCCTTATCTGTAAAGGAAATGATCCACCTACCTGACCCATGGGCTATTACCATGAGCAAAACAGAAAACCATTCAAGCTGCTGTAAAAGAATTATTTTCATATTTAAAACATATCACTGAATATATAGCATCCCCAACTATGGAGATTAAATAAAGCTAGTGGAGTCAAAGGTTTTCACTCTCAAAGAGAAATGACAACAATGACAGTTTGATTTTTCACTTTGGCTTAGCTTATGCTTTATAAGAGTTAACTTAAGAGAAAATACAAGAAGGACCATTTTTTGTAACTTATTTTTCTTATGCTTCAAAAAACAAAGAGCACGGGAAAGAACAAAAGACCTCCCTCCTGTTTCTTGAAGTTCTAGTTTCTCGTGTTCCAAAACTATTTCTACCCAAAGACACCTTTGGTCAGTCTGAACTCCAAGTGTTAGGCCCCTGCCAGACTTCTTGGTACTCTTGTTTTGCCTATTCTCTTTTAAAGAGAAAGGGTAAAGGTCAAAATCAAAGATGCACACAGGAAGGAGAGTTAGAGCATACACATTATTTTCTGTTAAGGACAGAAATGCAAAAAGACATAAATTACTGAGAAGCTGGTATATGTTTCTGTGTGGAGACAAATAGAAATGCAAGCTACATTATCCATAAGAAGCTAAAATCTAGCAGAAGCAAAAAAAGTTAATAGAATTCAAAATAAACTTAAATAATGAATACCAGCTGAAGTGTTGAGAAGGTTGTATTACCAGGCAGTGTAAGTGTTTTGTTACCAAAAAAATGGTGTTTTTATATCAAAGTTCATGGTTTGGCTACCCTCAAAACAACAACAACAACAACAACAACAAAACAACAACAACAACAAAACAACCACCAAAAGAACAGCAGGTCCTGATTGGGCATAGGGTTTCAGTCAGTTCTGAAACACAAAAAAGTCCCGGAGACTGGTTATACGACCATGCGAGTATATTCTATATTACTTGACTGTATCCTTAAAATGCTTAGATGGCACATTTGTGTTGTGTATTTTATCTTAATTACAAAGAAAACAAAAGCAAAATTGGGAAGGTCTATCACCTTAGAGCTCATTATCATAGGCTTAGGTGAGTGGTTGCCATCACTTTGGACAGGGCAGGTGATCTCCTCATTGTTCAGTCCCCTACCTTCTTTCACATACTTGGTCTGCCTTATTCATTTACCAGTTTAGTCAATGGACATTTTTTCTGTTTGTGAGCCCTGTGTCAGATCACAATTAACTACTAAGTGAATAGGTAGAAAAACCAAAGAAAACAGTAGTTGACAGGATGGGCAGACCAGATCTGGCTGGGAGATCAAAGACTGATATCTAGTCTTAACAGAAAACAAGGATTGATTATCAGACTATGATTTTGATGTGACATTTCAGTAAATCCAGATACTCTAACTAGAATGCTTAGCAACATTAAGCTTTCTTGGCTATTTTTAAAAACACTGTACAATACAATATGTAGTGATTTTTTTTAGTGGCTGGGTGGAAAATACTAAAACACTCTATGTGTAGTATATTTGTCAACTCAGCAATTCTGGTAAGTAAATGCCTTCACAGACTTTTAACGTATGCAAGAAAATAGACGTGATTATTAATGGAATTATCTGCACTAGCAAAAATAAATAAGAATTTAAAAATAGTTTATTCAAAAGAAAAAACTAAACATCTATCACCAGAAAAAGAAAATTACCTATATATCCATGATTGATAGAATACTACCTTGCATTAAAAARTAAATGACCAAGGACAAAGGTGGGCAAATTCAGGTCTAGTTCAAATCCACCTTGCAGCCTATTTCTGTATATCCTGCAAAGACTAGATTTTGCACCTTAAAGGGTTGTTAAAAAGGAAAACCAAATCAAACAAGAAAATGAGACAGACACCATATAAGACCCATAAAGCCTAAAATAATCGCTATCTGGCCATTTACAAAAAAGGCTTGCTAACCCCTGATGATGAAACTCACAACATAGTTCAGTTACAGCCATTAAACAGCAACTGGCTAGTGTACTTATTTCCTTTTCACAGAATATTGTTGTCACACCAGGTGTGTCATACCAATGACTTCAGGGTAAGTGGATCAAGTTTTAATAAATACGTATGTTTCAGAAGGTAAAGCAGGTAAGAATCAGTTTGCATCCATTTTGAAAAGTGGAAGGCTATCTGACCAGGCCGTGATTTCAACCTGACATTTCTGAAGTCTGAGTACTTTTAATAGAGTGCCTAACAACACTTGGCTTTCTTGGTTATTTTTAAAAAGAACTGCCTTCTGCAACAGGTTTTGTGATGATTGGTGGGGTGGGGAAATGCAAGAGCAATTAGCATTCCAATTTTATCACCAGCTACACAGTTTAATAATACACAGAGCCTGTTGAGCTTTTGTCAGTTAGAAGCAAGAGATCAGCAGTCAAGCCATGCAAGGAAAGCTGCCCTAAGAGGGACAGTCATCAAGAATGTGAATTAAATAGTTGTGGGAAATGGACTGATAAGCACAAGGAATTGAAACTGTTTTAATAGCAACTTTGAGATTAATCTTGGGAAAAAAAATTTAAAGAGGCGATTCTGGGAAATTCTGAAGGAAGTCTGGTTTCTCCTGAAATCCATTTGGAACAGATATGCAAATTTTAGTTGTGGTGAAAATATTAAACAAAAGCAAACTTTCAATAGCCCAGCCTGTTTCCATTTTTGTGAAACAACTTTATTCATTAGCCAATTCTATGGCCTCACATTTCTGTCACAGAAATGAAAAACAATCATTATTGATTGGAGTCAAAAGGGTAATAAAGCCACAAGGAACATGTCAAAATACTCAGTCTGTGACATGAAAGTCTTGCCAATTTGTTTCTTCCCACAATCCTATCTCAAAGAAAGTCATCACCATCTTAAAATAGTTAGGAACAAAGTTGGAAAATGACAGCAAGGGCATGAGAAATTCACACTGGGACCTAGAGCTGGCATTTAAGAAAAAAAAAAACCTCTTTCTTTTCCAGTGGCTGATATACTTTTTCTACTGGTGCAAATGGGCTACTAAGAGAGGACACAGCACCACCACTTGACAACAGGTAAACTCTCTAGATAATCCATGTGCTTCTTCTCTTCTGCCAAGAGTACCATGTGTTCCCAGGATTTCTCCAAGATCCCCATAGTTGTATACCAAACACAAAAGTATGTATAATTTTCAGATGAATAACCTGTGTCTATACAGACTATTTTATTTTTAAAACATTTCCAAGTCTGGTCAGTGCTACCAATGTTGTAATTTCTTATCCCCACCCTTGCAATCTCAATCATCCCATATACTCAATATCAACTGCATTCCAAAAATAAAGGAAAAGAAGATACAAGAGGATCATAGAAGCAGAAGTCAGAAAAAGAATAGAGGAATAAAAATAGTTTAGAATTCAACTTTTACTTTTGGAAAAGAACAGTTTGGTTTTTCTTATGCGCATGTTAAAGTTTAGAGCTAATAAACTGTACTTGAGCATAATCACTTTATGGCCATTAAGCCAGATTAGAGGAATTGCTGAAATGTAAAAATGAAGTTAATATTTTAATTTTAGTCCTAACTTTTAATCTAATTATACAAAAGCTTTCATGAAAGTTTTAACAAGCACCAAGACTAAGTGAGCTTTATGAATTTTCCTTCTCTATCAATTTCAGAACAAATGTATTAGTAAACTGGATAATTGTAGAGAGACAGTCCGTCCATAGGAAGAGAGTGTTAAATTGACAAATTACTACCAAAACTAATTTCTGATCAAATCTAAGCACTGCTTTGCTGATTTTTCATTTTTTAATCTCTAATATAGTCTTTAAATACAACAACAATAAAAAAAACCTATGTTACCCTAATCCAAAACAAAAATCAAGTCTTAACCACAGTCTTTTAAATATTTTAAACAGTATTAATATCAAGTTACAAGGTTATGATTCATATAGGAAAAGAGCAAATTTCCAAAATAAGACTTAGTTGAGACAACTAAAAAAATACTGGCAGAAGTACAGGTGAAAACTCTTTTTAACACTGCATGTGTGAAATCAAAGTTATATACCCACAACTGGTATATCAATGCAACTTAAATCTAAGACCATCAGAATTACGTACCGAGATGATTATCTGCTTCACAAGCTTAGTATCATCAATACAATCAAATGCAGCCAGTAAAACCAAATGAGAGTATTGGCCCTGTAAAAATTGAAAGGTAGTAAAACTTAAAAAAAAATGCAAAGATTTTTTCCTCTTACTCCATCTATGGAGTCATTACATAAAGGCTACCAACAGGGACAATTTACCTAACAAACATGAATAAAAGCCATTCAAATGCACTTTCTTTCTTATCCGGACCTAGTTAATTACATTCTTAAGAAATGATTGATTAAAAAGAAAAAGAAAAAAGAAACAGAAAAGCATATCCTTCATTGCCAAAGAGCCCCAGACTAACCAGGATATAATACTGTCTAAATAGGTATCCTGTTAATGAATAGCTATCTGAAAATCAAACTTAAAAGAAAGTCCAAGTGATAAGATTAACACTATGTGTGTGTTGGGGGGGGGGGAGTTATCACACAGAGAATATTAAAATCACACACRAAAATACATAAGCTTACATGTAATTGCACACACACACAATTCATAATACATGACAGAAAATTCTAGAAGGCAAAATACTGTAATGTAATAATCATCTCTAGGATAAAGGATTATAATCTTTTTAATCATGTATTCTCCAATTGTATTTAGATCAAAAATTTTCTTAAAATAATCCTCCACAATAAGAATATAAGTAAACTACAAAACAAACTATAAAGGTACACTTACTTAATGATATGAGAATAAGACAAAACTTTTTGCTTTAAAAGAAGTATGGAAGCAAGACCCATGTAAATTCACAATTGTGGCTTTCACAACAATCTCCTCTTGAAATAATACAATTATTTCTGCAATGCTGATTGTCCTCCAAACATTTAAAGAACTCCTACTTTATGTATAAAACCAAACCAAAACACTGTTTGCATATTCTTGTTAGTATCATGGATGATGATATCAATGTTGTATGTGTCTGTCTTAATTAGGGAGAATCAATTTTTTATAATAGCCAGCACAGATTCATAGCAAGGTCTCAGAAACATGGCATTGTTTTAATTAGAAACAATGAGGAATTTGCTAAATACACAGATGTAAAAACAAACTGGAGAAACACACCAAAGATCTAACATATTTKCGATCTAAAGATCAACAATCAACTAAAACAGCAAAAAATGAAAGTCCTTTTACAGAATGGCTTAAAAAGTATAATAATGCCTTAATGGAATAATTAAGGTCAATAATTAAAACAACAAAACACCATTGTCCACTTATCCTATAGTCAATGTTGAAAACCTCTGATAACAGACAAGTTGAGGTAAAGCAGGCACACTTTTATGTTGGTGAGAATGCAAAGTGGCTCAACTTTGGAAAACAAAGGTAACAACTACAGATACACATATATTGAAATAAGATGGTCCCTAAGACAAATTAAGTGAAGGAGACAACAAGACATAGTACAAAATCATTAGTTTCAGCTTTCTGAAATCATACACCCATAAGCTTGACCAAGAGTACAATATTTCTGGGTAAATACAGAAGAAGTCTGTAGAGAATTGAATTTAAAAGGCAGACATACTATCTTTTGAAGGCAAAATTACATTGATCAATGATGATTTCTGTTCAAATTATATGATTAATATGCATAGATGTTATATATATTAACAGTATAAGTGAGCAATAAGCAATTCCATAATCATATTTGGAGGTTTTAACATGTTTTGCTCAGTAGCTAAGAAAACTAAAAAACAAAATAGCAACCAGTAAAAACACTGATTATTCTAAACAACACTATCACCCACCTTGATCTAACAGTTATAGAATACCACAAACAACTTCAAAATAAATTCTTTTTAAGACACAATTAAACAAGTCTCAATGTATTTAAAGGATTAAAATAATAAAGAATACCAAGAAATCCTCAATATTTAGAAATTAAATTACATTTCTAAATAATGGATAGTTCAAATCCATGAGTTATATTATTAGCTCATATCATCATTTCAGAGGTTATTCTAAGAGATTAAAAGACATTGGATTATCAATTTCTATTATATCCCAATGTCATAGTAGGATTAGGTTCTCAAAAAACTTAATTGTTGCATTACCTAAAATAACGAAACTATAAAATTAAAACATTCTAATTAACTTGATTACTTAAAAATCTTTTACTACTACTAATACAGTTTAGAACTTTCTATTCATTCTATTTTTACTCAATTCTAATTTAAGTATTCAAATTAAAATGTCATACGTGAAGACTAAATTACTTAATAATGACTGAGGAATCAGAAAATATTCTTATATTGCAGAAATAGCTCAAGAGAGCTAATACCATATAGAATGCCTTCTGAATGGTTTCAAACTTAACTTTTCTAATCTCCAACCCTATAGAAGACAATAGGTAAGTACACAATCACCAAGCATTTCCTTTATGTTTGAATTAGGATTTGCTATATTATGAAGTCAGCACACATTATAGTTCCCACTGGATTTTTCATTGAAAAAAGTAGTTGGTCATGAAATTTTTGATTCATCACTTAATTAGAATTTTACTGATGAATTAAGTCATTAAATATATAACTCAAAAATTAAAATTATATTTACTACCACATATATTCTAGTTATAGTGTCATTTTATAACAATGCAGAAAATATCTATAAATATATGCAAACACTAGTTTTGAGGCAATTATTTTGTGTCCACTAATTTCATTAGAAGGTTGTCACTATATCTCCAGGGGATTCTAAGGAGCAAAACCACCATAGCTACACTGCAAATTTATTCTAAGAAAAAAAGGAGATGATTCTAATTTTGCAGGTGGTAACAAACACTGATACTAAGTTTCTGAATGGCAACCGACATTACTTACCTATAGATATAAACATAGATACTTTAATCAAGGCAGTAATTTTCACATTTTATTAACATGATTCAACAAATTCATTAATGAGACCTAGTAAATATCAAGTCTTAAAAAAATATCTAGTAAAAATGAGGAACTGACACAATACAATGTTAAATTTAAAAGAGGGCTGGGGGGTTTAGGGACCTGGGAATGCAGTTCAGTGAAGAGCCCCTGCCTAAGCATGTTCAAGGTTCTAGGTTCAATCTCCTGCACTTCAACAACAAAACAAAACAAAAAAAGAGGAGAGAGAGAAAAGAGACATGTGGTCCGAATTCTAATTTTTACAAATAATCATTTGAAAATATACATACAAAAAGACTATAATAAAACAATTTTCTTGATAAATTTTTTTTTAATTTTTCAATTTTTCTTTAAGACATAAATTCATTTTACTACTAAAATTAAAAGAAACATGTACTTTTACTGTACTTACATTAGCCACCTTTTCAACATAAGTCTTCATTGTTTTCACAATCACTTTCCTGTCCTTAAAAAGGAAACATTGCCTCAATGAACCTTTAGTAATAGATTAAACCTATTTCATAGTTAAAATTTTTTATATATTAAGATTTCATTTGAGTGGAATACTTTTCTTTAGTGAAAATAATAATTATGCAAACAGAATGAAAAATTGCAACATATATAATTCCTTTCAGAGTAAATCTTAGACTTACAGTTGACAGTCCATTTAGACATAAAGAGGGAACCCAAAACATGTAAGTTGCAAGCAATACAACTCTAATGAACCAGTTTTTACAGTAAGACCTGAGAGATCTCTTATCCAATGTCTGAAATATCTCTGCAAGAGTATACAGATAGTACCCAATATGCATTTGTTGATAAAAATTAAATGTGCACTAATGAAAAAATAGAATATACAATTATCTTTTGAAGGCATAAATAAGTTATTTCCATTAAAATTCTGTGATTAATATGGATCTTTATCTTTTTTTCAAAGTACTTAACACTCAGAGTAATAACACTCACAAGTGTGACTGTTTACTATCTTATCTCCATCACATATGATCATTAAATGAGAAATAGAGTCTAACAGATACCAAAATCTCTTGGGTTTACTTGCTTGACAGACTCTTTCTTATCTTCAACAAAGCTCAAGGTTTCTACTAAAGCAGAGAAGAAATACTAGGCCTAAAGATGATAAATACCTGTAAAGCCTTGAGACACAACTTGATAATAAGATGCTTATGCATAACTGGGGAAAGACTAGAGGGGATTGACAATCAATGAATAAGCAAGTCCAGCCTGCAGGGAAGACACGGCCCTGACTGACAACATTTACCTTGGGTGTGCCGTGCCATAGACAGTGCATGGTGACTCGGGCACCATCATGTGTGTGTGCCAAGTATACCACTGCTTCGCGGATGGCTTCAATCAGTTCCTAGGGAACAAATGCTGTCAGGGCATTGGTTTATTTTTCCTTCTTTTTGCTGTTTTACCTGTCTACAGAACAGTCAGGCACAGAAAATAAAAGGAAGAGAGCACAGGTAGCAAACAATTTAATTTTTAATTCTGTAGACAATCRGACAAAAACAACCTCATTCTAGAAACATCCTTTTCTATCAAAGCAGCAAATATTGCTGGCAAGCAATTTTTATTAAACAACATATCTGACTTTTACCAATGTCTATTTAAAAAAAAATGTTACAGGTTATATGGGTAACATAATATATTATAAATGATTTTCCAAGAAAAAAATGTCTAGAAGGTGGTAGCAATAAGGGAGTTTCAAACAGAACAATGAAAATAAATAAAATGCTCTTCCTTAAGAGACATGTATGTAATAAATAGAATCAAAACTCATTCTAACAAAGACATTTCCCTTTTTTTAGTTTATCACTAGATTATCTCCAGAAATCGTATTGATTCTTTATCATAAACAAATAGCATTTCCCAAAGAAAAATTAATCTCTATATTATAAAAATTTAGACTAGGTCTTCACCTATAAACGATACTTTTGTAGAAAAATCATTTAGTTTTTTTATGAGGTAGCTTAGCTTAATTTAATCTTTAGCATTCATTTTCAATGTATACAGTTTCTTATTCATATCTTCAAACTCTAAGCACAAGTTGTAAATGAGATCTGGCAGCTATCAGCCGCAGGGCCTCATTTTAGCCTATTCCAACTTTAAACAAAATACAAAGCCTCAAGCCAGGAAATGGAAAGGTAGTTGCCTAATTTCATCAATAAGGAACAAGCAATTTCACTCTGTACTATCTTACAATCCTTTCCCGGGATAAATCTCTAGAACACAGATTTCATCCATCATACCTATCCAGTTGGAAAGTCATATATGTATTCCAGTTATGATTCCAATATCCCCAATGATATATTTTTAAGTCTCTCATTTGAAAACTGCCCCCAGTGCCAGAAAAGATCCTTTATTCATTACTTTATATCCCGTTCCAATTTTTTTTATTCCTAAAACACACTCAACACTAAAAAGATAAATGCTTTCCAGCACTGAATATATTCAAATGATCATTTTGCCAGACAGAACATTCAATCCTATCTCAGGAAACACACAAGTGTGAGATACTGTGTTCTGTGGGAAACAGAAATCCCCCAAAGAGAAGATGCTGCTATGGTCACTCCACAATGAGCTTAGGAGAGTACCGACTGTTGAGAAATTATTTTGCGTGCTAATTGAGAGGGTCAAAATTCCTATGAATATGTAATCTGGCATATTTGTTAAAATAAGCCAGATTCATTATTTTAGTTATCCCGTGTGACTGAAAATGAGGACAAAATGGACAATGAGCTCACTGAATGATGAGGCAAGCAAAGTTCAGGAAACCAAATGATGAATTCTCATTTGTATTCCCTTCACTAACTTGAAGGGCAGTGCAATTTACCTTCACTCTCTGTTCTTTCTCCTTCTATCATTTAAGGTCCAGGTTTTCATGGGCCATTTAGTTTTACATTAAGTATCTTCCACTAACCTTTTAATGTCAGCAAGTTTTTTTTTTTTTTTTTGGTACTGGCACAGTTGAGTTTAAAAACTACCTAAATGCAAAATATTCCTCTCAAGTTACTTTATTTTTAGAAAATCTGGAGGATATCCTCTGGTTTATAATTAAAATATAAAAATTCAATTGTATTAATAAAACTAGAGTCAATTCTATCATTTTTCTAGACAAAAAGTAAAACAAATTAGCAAGCTTATTCAAGGGAAGTTTAGTGAATCATCTATTCTAAATAAGAAAGCAACTCTAAAATTTCCAAAGGAGTGTGTATATCAAAGCAATGTGTTAAAATATCTACATGACTTTTTTTCTACACTTTGGTTTAAAAACAAAACCCAAGAACTTACTGATCTGAGTTTTGGGGGTGCGTAGGTAAAAAAATCCAAGAATACTTTATGAACCAGTGAGTGCTTAATCACAGCTTCTCTGAAAACAGAAAACAAAAACAACAACAAAAAAAACCATCAGATCTGGCAAAAAGCCAAACAGACAGGCAATCTTGAAACTAAAATAATCTAAATAAGATGGTTTTACGAAATATGAAATTGATTGTATGTTTCAACAGTACTAAGATTTCAAAAAAATTATAATATTGACCTAAGTACAAATTTCAGTGTTTTATCAACAAAGATTATATCATCGTTCAAAATTTGTTCTACCTTTATAAATAACAACTCTATTTTCCTCCCTCAGTTCTGGAAACATGATTGGAAATCCACATTTAGACCTTTTTTTTTTTTAAGCTATTTTCTTTCTGAAAGCACTATTCAAAATACATTAGTTTCACAAAATATTAGCAGAACTGAAACCTGAATGAATCAAACAGTGAGAGAAATAGCAACAACCATATTTTATCAATGCCCCATAGTGTGACATTTGGTGAACTCAGGTAAAAATGGAGGTTGATGTTCAGGCACCAAAAACATAAAGTTCACATACTTTACCCAAACAGATAACAAACTATTCTGCTTTTATGGGCAAAGCACTGTTTTGAGTTCTTTGGAAATATTATCCCATTTAATCTTCATAAAATTTTATGACATATATACTATTAGTATCCCAATTTGACCATAAGGATACTCATAGAGAGGTTAAACTGTCTAAGGGGGAGGGGATAGCAGGAGTCACTCATGCAGTCAAGTTATACTCCCAACAATTGTGTTATGTTACCAATTCTAAGAAGGCCATGTGCATAGGCTTCTAAGTCTTAAAATCCAATTTAAATAACATTATGTTTGTGAAACTATTCAATATAACATATAATAGTCCATAAAACAGTTTTTTGAGAATAAATGTTTTGTTGCTTAAACAAAGTTTATAAACCATTATTATGTTGTCCTTTTACAGGATGCAGTATCAGAAAAAATGATGCCCTTTCATACTAAGACAGACTCCAAACAAAAGTTTTTACACTTGAATTTAGGACAGATTAATAACAGTAAAGAGGAAATACCTACCTTTTTTGGGGCAAGGGTTATATAAAACTTTCCTCCTTCAAATATCTTTTTCAAATGTATTAAGAAAATACAAAACATCTTTCTTACTTTTGGGCCATTGGAGTTAGAATCTGTTTCATTTCATCCATAATAAGCTCTAATTTTTCTGGCTGTACCTCCAATACTTTGTCCAGAGTTGGGTGATCCGCTGACTGTAACAAAAGAAAAGTCAAACCCCTCTGAAATTAATGTTTCTTCATTTCAAACAAAAAAAACAATTATAGCTATTTTCAATAAATTTAAAGTAAATGTAAGGTGTTCCATATGTGCATAACTCAAGCTTTACTGTATACACACTCATGGAATAATTCTTGATCTGATTCTGAGACTGTACAGATGTACAGATGTCTAGTCATCTTTGGTATCCATAAGGAATTGGTCTAGAAACCCCTGTGGACACAAAACACTGAGGATGCTCAAATCTCATGAAATGGCATAGTATTTGTTTATAACCCTCCCCCACGTATGTATACGTAGTAATATTTTATATATAAATATATATATAAATAAAAATACATAAATACCCTTGAGGATSCCTATATACTTTAAATCATCTTCAGATTACTTATAATTCCTAATACAATGTAAAATGTAAATGCTGTATGAATGGTTGTTACAATTGTTTAGGGAATAATGACAAGGAAAATATCTATGTATATCTAGTATAGATGCATCATTTGAAAAATATTTTCATTCTGTGACTGGTTCACTACTCGRATGCAGAACCCACAGATACAAAGAGCCACGTTAAACCATCAATCATGCCAACCAGCCAACAGACACTTGCTAAGACCTAACATATCTAACCACAAAATCAAGTAGATCACAAATCTTGCTGTCCTGTTTTTTTTAGCAGCTGCATAGTCCTAAAGTGAGGTATTACAAAAGTAAAACAACAATAAGTTCAACTCAGGAACATAATTGCCTAATGCAGGGAAACCAGTAATCAATCCATATCCCTCAGATAAACATACATTAATGTCCCATGGTTTACAACAGACCTTCTAGCTGTCCCAGTCTTGGATTCAGTCCCTGCACTCTATCCAAAGTGGACTGTCTCTACTCCCCCACTTCTCTAGACCATCTGGAGAAGGGTAATGCAACATCATGAAGAAAGGTGGGAGAAAGCAATAACAGAAGAGTCCAATGCCCTTCAGCCAGAGCTGGATAGAGAGTGGTTCTAAAGCTTTGCTAACTACTAAGAATCTTTGACCTCAGTCTGATTCAGAAATGAAAGTACTTAATTAAGCATTACACACAGAGCATTAGGAATAGAGCAACAAAAGTCGTTTCATTTGAAGGAGATTTAAAGATAACATCTGGAAGAAAAAAATTTAAGTGTGATCACTTGCCCACTATATTAGAGACAAAATCATCTACAAGAAAAGAGACAGTCTATTAAAGGAGCATCCAAAGTAAAAATGMCTTCTGAAAACAAGGCACTAGAAGTTAAGGACAACATACAGAACAAATAAACACAAGAAAAAGCCTTATGGAAACATCACCTTATAAAGCTGAAATGTATTTCCATAGAGTTCCTCAGTCAGCATGTTCCGCTGCTCCAAAATGGCTTTGTCATTGTATGCATACTCCACAATAGCAGATGCTTCTGCGTGACGCAGCATCTTTCTCACATGGCCTTTAAAACTTCTGATTATCTCGGCAATCTGCGGTTTACTCCTAAAAATCATGGGGAAAAAAATAATGTGTGTGTGTGTGTGTATGAGATAAAAGGAAAAATCTAGATGACAATAAAATACAATYTACTTCTCCTGAGGCTGACTAATCACTCTATGTATGTGTGTGTGTTGGGGGGGGGACCTCATTAAAAATAAAGAAAAAGATTATGAGCAGGAAAATCTAATTGCCTTGTATTTCTACTTCAGGCTTTTAAGTGATTTAGTAACCAGACTTTCTAGGACTGACACCTGGCTCAAAAGACCCTGAACAAACTCTTTAACCTCAGCCTTTCCATTCATATAGGTGAAATGATGCTGCTGTGAGGATTAAATGAACTAAGAAGCATCAAGCCCTGTGAGCAGCACATTGTAAGTGCCCAATAAATGCCAGTTCCTATTAAATTGTTGAACTTGAAAAAAAGTAGGGTAGGGGAAAAAAGAAGCAGTAAGTCAAAGATGCAGAAAGATAGGAATAAAACATATTCTAGGATTCTCTTTTAAAAAAAACAGGACTTATCCTAATACAATTAAGCTGCTAATAATCAGTCAGGAATACATTTGTCATGTTACATTTTTTTTCTTGTTGGTCACCACATTCTGGGACATTATTACACCCAAAATGATTGGCCAAGACAAACACTAATTCCACCTAAATTTAGGAAATCCTATCTTGACATTTTCTAACCCACTTATCCTATTTCAAGAGTTTACTCATCTGCTGCTCCAACTTTCTACCCTTTAAATACTGCTGATTAATTACAAGTTAATTATTCCATTTCTAATGGAGCTTCAAGACACAAAAATAGTCTCTTAAGAATAGGAACAGCAATACCAAAATCTCATTAATTTCAATAACTGTTTTTAAGGTGGTATACYTGTAAAACTTCAAAGGCATTTGTGGAGGGCTATTAATATGACCACAGACTTCATAAGTAACACTTGAGCACAGTAAAAAATAAGAAAAAAATGTATTTTATAAATAACACAACTTACCCATACATGAGAAATTTCTTAACAATATTTCTGGAATATTTAGCTTTACTTAATTCAACCAAGTCACCTGAAAAACAAAATATCCTATAATGATTTGATATCCTCATTTCAGTTTTCCAAAAACAAGGGGAAAAGCTAAATAAATGCACAATTCTATGACTACAACTGTTTGTCTCAGGCAAAGAACAAATAAAAACAACAATGATACTATAGAGGGTACCTCCACAGAATTATTTTCTAGGAGTCTTAGATATTCCAAGAGAAAACAAGTGAGTTATTTACAATGATAACAACTTCAATATACAGCCAGTACCTCGTAATTCTTCAAAGGCCTGTTTTCTCTGTTCTTCATTACCATGCTGAATGTAACACTGGATCACACGAGTTGAATCATGTGCAAAAGCAATCTGCAAGAAAAACAGTTGGAGTCTTTAGACTAATTCTCTCTGAAGAGTTGTATTTCTTTCTTATTATTTGTTTTGTTGCTACCTCTTTGAAAATTCCTTGTTAGAAAAAAGTAGCATATTCACAGATTAAATCAAATTTTTGACTATTTGGGAGAAAAAAAACTTATTTTAATTATGCAAAATATCATTTGAGGTTTTGTTGCCTATTGTACTTGATAAGTATAATTAATAATGAAACTGAGGCAATGATAAGTTAACCCATTTTGCAATATGCCTAACATTATAATTAAATCTACACCAAATAAAAATCATCTAAGGATTATATAGATTATAGTTTTTGTTTTTCTGACAGTTACCTTCCCTAAAAGAGGGATATTCCAGTATAAAAACTTTACTATTTTATGATTTTTACTAAGTGATCTAAGAATGTTTGGCTTTGGGAACCAAAAGTAGATATATAAGATCAATATAAAAGTGTTGCTAAATAAAAAGATGTAAAAACATTGCTACATTTAGGCAATCACATTATAAAATTAATCCTATTTTCACATTCTCCAAACCATTCCTTCTTACAGGTATTGGCTACATTAGATTGCCATTAAAGAATTCATTGATCAATTTTCCACAATAACATCCACAAAACACCAGTCATGCAAGACTGTTTTGAATATGCTACATTAGTAATCTATTTTCAAAGTGTTGTTTACTTTGTCTATCAAAATTTTTAATGTCAAAAAATTAAACAATGGAGATACATCTCCAACATAGACAAGAGATTTTAAAATTTCTTTAAGGTAGATTTTAGACATCTTTAATAAACCTCGTTTTTAAAAATAAAGTTGTTTACAATAAACCTTGTTTTTAAAAATAAAGTTGTTTACCTTACTATATATACTGAGTATCTACTATCTGACCTATACAAATGCTTTAATAATATTTTCTTATTTAGATCTCAAAGCAATTTAAGAATGAGCTGCTGTTCCTACTTTATAATGAGAAAGGTAAGGTTACAAGAAGTTAAGGAACTTGCTACCCACCCCTGTGACCTTGGGGAAAAAACTTAACTACTTTGAGACCCATATGTATCAAATGTACAAAAGGAATAATGGCTAAGTTAAATGAAACAATGTGTGCATACATTAGCACAATTCCTCATAGTAAATAATAGATAAATAGGTTATTATTACTGTCCAAAGGTACAAATGGTTCAATGAACAGAGGTGGAATTTGAGCACCAGACTAACTCCCAAGTACATTACCATGCTACAATGACTTAAGGGTATTTGACAAAGAATTCTGAGTATAAAATATTTATAAACTAAGGATAAAAGACTACAGACAAAGCTGAGGGGCTGGCTATTCCATCCTATGGATCTTACAGAATTAATAAGAAAGAAACAGCTGAAGACTAGACATTTCAAAACATTTCCTCATGCTGTAATGTAGCATGTTAGACCTATGCATATGGGTTGGCAAAGACTATCCCTTCAGTCTCCCCTCAAATTATTGAAATATATTGCCTTATAATCTAAGAATCAATGGAATTTTATTACAAAACAGGATTGAAGAGCAACAATATAAAAATACTTAGACCCCAAGTGACAATGGGTTGCAATTAACACAGGCTCACTAAAAATATTACATGAAATTACCTTTGGGCTATGTGTATATAAAGTGTCTAATGAAACATAAATGAATTCCGTATTCAGACTTGGATTCCATCACCAAGATATCTTCTTATGTATATGCAAATTCCAAAATATGAAAAAAATTAATCCAAAATTATTCTGGTTCTAAGCATTGCAGATAAGAGCTATGCAACCTGTATTAATTCTTATTTAGCCAGTGTTATGAAAGACAGTTGAAATTTTTAGCCAAATAAACTGGAAACAATGAAAAGTTCCCCTGTAATGAATGGTTAACTGYCCTTCCCTAAGAGTGAGACAACTCTGATGGCTTAAAATTGCATGCATGAGCACGCACTACTTACAGTTTTAATTTTCCCTTGGATCAACTTCTGCAAGTCACTCATCAACTTTACTCTTTTTTCTTTGTCACAATCTTTTCTATAAATGAGAAGAGGGAGAACACACAGTTAAATGAAGAACTTATTTTAAACATATAGAATTAAACACCAGGGCTGGGGATGTTGCTCAGCGGTAGCGCGTTCGCCTGGCATGCGTGCGGCCCGGGTTCGATCCTCAGCACCATATACCAACAAAGATGTTGTGTCCGCCGAGAACTAAAAAATAAATATTAAAAAATTCTCTCTCTCTCTCTCTCTTAAAAAAAAAAAAAGTTAAAAAAAAATAGAATTAAACACCATACGAATATACATTCATCAGGTTTAAAGTAATTTTCTATTTGAAGGCAGCAAACCTCTGACATTAAAATTACCATTCCAGAGCAGTCAGACAAAAGTAATTTTCTCAGAGGCAGAAACTCATCTCACAAGGTATAATTTTATGGATCAATCTAAATCTTAACAACCAGAACTTTTAGAAGGGAAGAAAATAATAAGTCTATGATACCAAATACTTAAGTATCTCAAAACCTAGCCAATAAGAAAGTATCCTTCATTTCTCAGAAATCCAAGGAAAGATGTCAAATCCATTTTGACTCTCATATATTCCCATAAACGTATCTGACACTGTCCTAATGTCAAAAAATTAAACAATGGAGACTCCACACACTTCTGCATAAGCAGACACCCAAACACTGATGCCTCCTACTGGAATGTTACAAGTACTCCCAAATAACATAAGTGTTACATCATTTATTTTAGGACATTTCTAATTATAAGGCATGTTGTTACTTCTCCATATAGTATCAAAGGGACTAATGAGGATGCTATTAGGTACATTACCTTCTTAAGATCTCCCAAATCTGCTTTGCTCGAACAACAATATCATAGTTGGTTTTGTCACTGAGCTGCCTGCTCTGCTTCAGTTCTTTCTTCTTCTTTTTGAAGTCATCCCATTTAGGTTTCTTAGTTGCTGATTCTAGATGTTATAGAAATTATTTTCAATTACATTTAACATTCTGAGTACCACAAACAAATACAATTTAGATACAAAGGACAATCATTAATCAGGATGATACTCATTATGGAAGCTAGAAGGGGGAAATATTTATTTGTTTACTTATTTATTTATTTATTCATTGCTGCATTTATCGATCAGTTTATATAATTTAAATGTGTTTAAAACCAGTCATTTAATAGCTTTTTATTGATTCTTAATAGGGTACCTGGTGAGAAAAAAAAAGGATATTAAAAAGATTATAAAAACAATTGGTAAATTTTAGCATCTTTTTTTGACTGTAAAATAAAATTCTACTTTAAAACATTAATGTCATTGGACTTTATAATGAGAACACATTGCTTCCATGAAACAAAATTAGTACAATAAAAACAATTAGTCCAAAATAAAACAGGAAAAAACCTAAAAAATTCACAGTTCAAGGGCTGGGGATGTAGATTAGTGGTAGAGTGCTTACCTAGTGTATGTGAGGCTATGTGTTCAATCCCCAGTGATACAAACAACCTCTCTTCTGAGTACAAATGCTTATTAAGTCAACATAATTCTTAAAACACTACTGCCAGATGGGTACAATTATTATCCCCATACCCATTCTTCTGTGTTGGGGAAACAAAGGGTTTAGAAAGTTAATTATGTTATGTGTCCAAGGCCATTCAACCATAGTGGTAGAAACAGTATTCAAATCCAGAGACAACTCTTCACTGCTTTTTACTTATTACAATGCATAATCAAAATTTCTTTTTCTACAAACAGAATGATGCTATAAATGTTGAATTTAATTTTCTTTCTATGATGATTTTTCTTTGGTCTTCAAAATTTGAGTATCTTATCAATTGAACCAAAAATTCAATAAGGCTAAACAAAAAAAAAAATCTTAACAAAATGGGTATCATTTACATGAAAATCCTACAGATAAGACTTTGGAAATTAGTTATTATAAATATCTTTCTCTGATATACTCATTTCAAAAATCTGGAAAATGAAAAAAAAATCCCCAGCAATGCTAAAAATCTAGGTAAAACAACAGCTTATTCTTTCTTGCCCCTTTCCCATGTATGGTTTAAATAAATCTTTAAATATTCATAATCTTTGTTTTAACATTATACTCTCAGCACTTTTCAATGAAACTAAATATTCATCAAAAACCTAACTTTCAATGATTATATACAATTAAATRCTACAATGTATTTAATTACTTCCTTTACTATTTGTTTATTCCCTGTCTGGTAATGGAAGATTAGCGGCAATGGAAAGCATATTTACAATTAACAGTAAGGCATCATGTACTACACAGTAGGATAATTACTGATAATTACTAATTTAATTTCACAAACATTTGGGTACTCTTGACATGCCATGCTGGGTTTTCAACAGATATACAAATTCTGAAAATGTCTAGTACCCCATATCTCTATTATTCATATAAAAATATGAGAAAATAAAATCAAGAACTTCATTTTAAGACGTTAAGAATATGTCTCTCAAACAGGGCCATAGCACAGCAAGACCTTAATCAGAATGAATGTATATATATTTCAAATGCATGTATCAAGAACTTTATTAAGGAGAGGAAGATTTCAGACTTACTACCCAGGCTAGGAAAGAGAAGGAAAAAGAAAAAAGAAGATGGAACAGGAACTATGGGGAGTGGAGGAGATGCAAAGAAAGGTAAACAGAAAAGAAAGAGGCTGGAGTGGGAAAGGAACCTGCAGGCCTGATGAGAAACAATAAAATTTCCTTCCACTTCTTCTTTCTCACCTCCCTGTCTTAAGGCAACTGTCTCTCTAATGAGCAGCCCTTGGGAATAAATAGCAAAGTCCAAAGATAAGAGAACTGACCTGAAAAGGCAGCTCACAGAAAATAAGCAGTTTTAGAATATATTTTGTGTTAGAGAAAAAAAGACTAAAATGCACCAGAGAAATTCTCATAAAGTGCAAAGAAGGTATATGTGTGTCTGTACATGTAACCAGCACAGGACAATGCACAATATGGGCATGTTGTACAACAAAGAGCAAAGCCCTGGGTCAGAAATAATCCCTTGAAAATAGTGAGGAAAAAACTAGTAGTCTGTTTTAATGACAAACAGAAGCCCTGTCAACACTTCTACAATGAACATCTCGTCCTAAACCAATTAAAATCATGTCATGTGTGCACTACACCCTCTCTGAAGTTGCGACTAGACTTGGGCCATCTAATGGGTTGACTGTATTAGACTGGGCTAAGCTCTGTAAGGGCAGAGTCTATAAATCCCTTGTTTACCAAGGCCTTTTTGCCAAGGATGACACGTAGCTAGGACACAACTGGTTCTTAAAGACCAATTTTTTTGATTAGTTGGGAATCTTTACTGATGATGGTGATCATTCTGCTCCACCTCCTAGCACAAAGATAGAAAACTCAAAATATTTGTTGAATGAATAAATGAATTAAAAAAATAATTTTGGCCTACAGAAAGGAATGTTTTATTTAAGGTTCCACTTAAGGAGCAAGAAGTAAGGTCTCTAGAACTTGTCCAGAGTCCCTGTGCACAATGGTCCAGATGCTACCTCTGGCAAGGAAAGACTCTGCAAAGATTATGCTAGATGCTGGGTGTGGTGATGCATGCCTACAATCCCAGCGACTTGGGAGGATGAGACTGGAGGATCACAAGTTTGAGCAAGTCTCAATAACCTAGAGGGCCCTCAGCAACTTAGTGAGAACCTGTCTCAAAATAAAACTCAAAGAGCTGGTGATGCAGCTCAGTGGTAAAGCATCCCTGGGTTAAATGCCCAGCACCTCCCCCCCCCCCCCAAAAAAAAAAGAAAGAAAGTAAAAATAATTTCACTCGCAGATATATGAATGGAACTGGGAATCATAATGTTTAACAAAATAATCCTGGTAAAGCATCCCTGGGTTAACATTCCAGCACCTCCCCCCCCCCCCAAAAAAAAAAAGAAAGAAAGTAAAAAGGACTGCTAGAGGAAATGGTGCTTACCATCACTTTTATTGTCTGGCTGGAATTTTCTCTTTTTGTTGAATTTATTTGCCTGCTGAAATTTGTTCTTCGGTCCTTTGTCCCCTTGTTGTTTATTCTTGAATTGTTTCACACCCTTTTTCCCAGGTTTTGTAGCACTTTTCTCAAAGTTCTTAGATGTGATTTTAGGTCCACTATCCTTAACTTTTTGGGGGAATGCCTTTGAAGAACTAGAATCTAGTGGTGACAACAAATAATTATTACCTTAATTATTCTAGGACAAGATTTCTTTTATCTACTGTATTATATCTGCTACAAAGAATTATATGCTCTCTAGTGGAACATAATTGTCCTACTCACAAGTATACATTTATATACATTTACTCTTCTGAATAGAGTAGGATTTAAATAATCAAATCAAAATGTGAAAACTTCATTCTCTGATTATAAAATCATCATATAAGTTCTTGATACAAAACCTAGGAAGTAGAGAAATGTACAATCAGAACCATCTATACTTCTACTACCGAGAGATAACCACTGCTGTTGGTTTGTTATATTTCTTAGTGTTCATCTTTATAGATAATTTTCAATAGTACAATGATATAACAGGTGTCTAAGAATAAAATTAACATGCTTGAAATTTAGAGAGCATATAAATAAAAAATTTAAAATGTCAATTTCTCAAATTTCTAATTTCCACTGAGGAAAATAATCTTAAAACCTATAATAAAATCATTCGATACAAATATGGAATCAAAAAGCCTGCAAATTAAGTACCAATCAAGTGAAATGCAAATAGCAACAGCTACACCTTAAGACTGTTACAAGGAAATAAAAGACTTCTCAGCAAACATTAAGTTCACAGCCCTTTTCTATTTCCCAATACTGACACCTGATGGAAGAAGAAAGACATCACAATTCACAATTCTGAAGCTTCAAGTATTTGGTTAGTCAACAGTACATATTAACCAACCTCAATTTACCAAACATTAAAATAAAATATATAGTGAACGCGTGTGCATAAAATGAAGCAACAGCAACAATAGCTGAGAGAAGGGGTCTTTCAAGAGTAAAGCACTCCTCAATTATTCTTGCAATTTTATAATTTCTAAATTTCGTGAGAAACATGCTAACTCATAAACAATAACACCCATGTCTTCCTATTTCAATGCTAATTCTAGTATATGAATGCAGATTGGAATCTGCTACATATCCTTCCATCCCTTCAATTATATTGGCCAAAACAACCACATGAGAAGGATGTTTTGGTACAGCTATCTTACCTCTGGTTTTATGAAATCTGTTTTTTCCTTGCAATGACTTTGTACCCTTTCCTGTGAATTTTTTTTCCCTTTTGACTTCCATCATAGCAACTCTGGAAGACAAAAACCAGAATGAATCACTGAATTGCTTATAATCAAATAAAAGTCGTTTAAGTAGTAATAGCCATATTTAGTCCTTGAGTTCAGATGTAGTATAAATATCACCCAGGTAAAGCACAGGTACCCACACAAGTCTAGCAATTACACAATCACTGTTTCGAAGACTTTAAAAATGACCAAAAGGCCAGGAGTAGTGGTGCATGCCTATAATCCCAGTGACTCTGGAAGCTGAAGCAAGATAATCACAAGTTTAAGGTCAGCCTGTGCAATTTAACAAGACCCCGAGCAACTTAAGACCCTGTATCCAGTACCAAAACCAACCAACCAACAAGATACCAACATAAAGACTAAAAATACACACCCTGGCTATTGTGTTATGTATCTGCAAGCAACATTTAGCAACAGCACTGGTTAAAAACAGAACATTAAATATAACCTGCATTTTATAACCTGAGAAGACTTGTGATGAATTATTGGCAATATTACCATTTGATTTTTTAGTCTCTAACCTTTAGGAAAAAACAACAGGCTGTATTTTTCACATATCCAAATATAATGAAAGAAAATAAATGATTCTCTGAAAGATCTCTATGTTCCAATGTAGTTAAAATAAAGGTTACTGACCAATGTTTGAGATTGTTTTAGAGGCACCTAAGTAACTTACAGTGAACTCCAAAATAAGATTATGTTAAAATATTTATTAATGTTTCATTTAAAAGAATATGTCCAACAGATAACATGTGAAGGAAATCTCACAGTGCACAGGAGAAGGTTCCTGTAATATCAAGAACTAATTTCTCAAGATACTGATAGTGTAAGAAAAATGCATTCTGGATTGAAATATATTTGAGAAACATTAAGTCTGTAAGAAAAGGCTTTTCAGATTCTTTAATTTGGTAACATACTATCCATGTTCACATAAAAGCTAAAAGAAAAGGCTTTTCAGATTCTTTAATTTGGTAACATACTATCCATGTTCACGTAAAAGCTAAAGTATGTAGCATTTTCCAAATCTATTTGAACCGCTTTTTCTTGGAGCCATCTTAAGGGAACAGTAGGTTTCCAGGGAATGCTCTAGTTCCAAGAGTAGAAGATGCTGTTCTAATCTAAATTTTACAAATAAGATTCTAAAAACATGGATGGCTCCTGATTTATAGAGCTTCCTCAGGGCATGTAGAACTGCAGGGTCACTATCACTTGGCTATCACCATCATACCCATACCAGCATTTCTTAGCTCTTAAGTGCATGTGGTTTTCCAAAAATTCATTACACATTTTCCCTGTGTATTGTTTTAATTTGTATTTTTAAATAATTATAGTTTTACAGAGAGTTGAAAAGAGTTCCCACTTATCATTTGCCCAGCTTACCTTAAATTAACATTTTTTTTACTGTGATGATTTATCAAAACTAAGAAATTAACATTAACACTACTAATTAAGCTAAACACTACTAATTATGTATTCCACCATTTTTCTGTAATATCCTGTTCCAGGATACACTAAATTTAGCCATAATGTCTCCTTTAGTATTCTGCAAAATACGCCTCATTCGGGTTTGACTGATGATTTCTAATGATTAGGCCGAGTTTACTGATCCCCTCTCAACCTCCAGTATTGGGGATTGAACCCAAAGCAAATGTTCTACCACTAAGCTTCTTCTTCAACCCTTTTTTTGAAACAGTCTAAACCTGGACTTAAACCTGGTGATCCTCCTGCCTCAGCCTCACAAAGAAGTACTCTCTTCATAGAACCATAACAAGAGGCACAAGACATCAATATGACTTATTAGTGATCATGTTAACCTTGACCACTTTGTCAAGTAGTGTTTGCCAAATTTCTTTAAGGTTAACTATCTTTCACTTTCTTTACTCTATTAGAAGCCATTACATCTAGCTCAAACTTAAAGAGAAGGAAATTAAGCTCCARTTCCGAGAGAGGAATAGCAAAGAATTTATAGACATATGTTAAACTACTACAGCAACTAAAATTTGGGGCAAGATATTTGAAACTATACAAATATCTGTGTCTTCTTAAAGTTTTGTCCACTAATTTTAGTTTTCCTCATTAATTCAARTTCTCCTAAAGAGAAGATTTGTCCTATCTTTTTCATCTATTTATTTATTGGTACGCAGGGGCACTTGACCACTGAACCACATCCCCAGCCCTATTTTGTATTTTATTTAGAGACAGAGTCTCACTGAGTTACTTAGCAACTCACCTTGCTGAGGCTGACTGAATTTGCTATCCTCCTGTCTCAGCCTCCCAAGCTGCTGGGATTATACATGCATGTACCACCACGCCCGGCTACTTATTTATTCGTATCAATATGGTCTCTGATATTTATTCTATTCCTTAGGTATAACACAATATCAACATTATTTTATTGCTCAAAAATAGCTGCAGCTTTGGCCAATGGGAAGTATTACAGGTTGCTTCTATCCTTCTAATATGGTCTGTCTTTCCTTTTCTTTTTAAGCCTGTCTTTATTTCCTGGCACTTGCTATAGACTCATATTTTCTTTGTCCTTCTTGAAAGTAGCCATTTCTCCATTGAATTCTGGTTCCTTTTATTATGAATGGTATTTAAAAACGAAGAACTAACTGCCAAGTGTTTGCMATTGCTGGGGTCATTTCTTCTAGGTCTTTTCAGCATACAAAACTGGATAATAGATATGCATTTATTAACTCATGTATTCATATATACCTATATTTCTATATTTGTTAAAATAATGTAAAGTTCATAGTAATGTTTCCAACTCTGGTCAAATACCAGAAGTTTTATTCTGGTACTCCCCATTGTTCAATTTTAACTTCTTCCTCTAAGAAGTCGGCTTCCCGGGATCTATAATTTATTTATAAATTTGTTCAACCCTAATACAAATGTAAAGTAGGTTCAATATTCCTAAATTGTATCCCATGAATTAAAAAAATATACTAATTATTGCACTGTTGATGTATAGTTCTTGTCTTTTCCTCATAAATACTGTTTTCTAAAGTCTTTAAATCACCCACCGTCTTCAGTGACATTATAGGTTTATAATAAAATTCATTTCTCATTATCTGCATTCCACCCCAGAAATGCCAGTTGATTTGTTAACCCTCCAGATAGTCAGGTTCACTTTTTTTTTTAGTTGTAGATTGACACAATATCTTTATTTTTATTTGTTTATTTTTATGTGGTGCTGGGAACTAAACCCAGGGCCTCAAGCATGCAAGGTAAGCGCCCTACCACTGAGCTACAACACCAGCCCTCAAGTTCACTTTTTTAGTGTACATTTCTGGGGGATTTTAACAAATGGATAGAGCCATGCATCACAGCACCATACAGAACAGTTTTATCACTCTATAAAAGTGCCCTGTACAGCCACTCTGTAATCAACACCTGCCCCCTTCCTTGGCTGCTACTAATTGGTCCTTCATCTGTTTTGTCTTTTCTAAAATGTCATACAAATGAAATCAAATAATATGTAACCTTTTGGGTCTTGCTTTTTTCATATAGCAAAATACATTTGAGTGTTGTACTTTATAACCAATCACATTCCAGTGTCTCTCATAATTATGCCTTTTCCTCTTTCCCTCTATTACCCCATTTAGACTTTTGTTCTCTTGCTTATATTGTTTTGCCCTTATATCCAATCTGCCGCATTCACTCTGTTTCTTGATTAATCTTCCACTAATACACTGATTTCATAATATTTCAATACTTGCATAGCTTGAAAATTTCCCACTGCTTACAAGGAAAAAAAGTCTCAAACTGGCATTCATAACTACTCAAAATTTGGTTCTAATTCACCCCCAATACTACACAAGAACCAAACTTATTCCCAATTCTTTTTCAGGATCAGAACTTAAAAGGAATTCTTTCTATGAACAGAATCCCCTACCCATCCTACAAATCCAGCTTAAATGACATTCACTTATACATTCTTCATATGGTTTCCCCTCTTTCCTTTATCATTTTCCTTTTTATTCTATGGATACATTTTATGGCCACATTTTATGGCCTTTTCAAAATGTAACACTTTAAATTTATTCATGGATGTTCTACTTTTCCTCTACAGAAACTTACTGAATRCCTACAAACCACTGCTAAAAAGCTGTTGGGCTGAAAAAATACTGGGACAGGGGGACCACGGTGTGGTCTAATGAACAAAAAGCAAAAAACTAATACACAATGTATTTAAAAGTGCTGCAATATAATTATATACAAAGTGTTAAGGGAGCCAGTGGCTGAGAGCCCAATTCTGCCTTAGCCAAGCATCAGAGATTTCCAGGAGGTAGAGGGATATCTGACTAACTTTTCTTCACGGCCCTCAGTAGGCCCAGCAATGTATTTTGAAAGTGGTAAACATCTAATATCCAAACTCTACATATTGGCATTCCTCAAGTCTTTTGTCCTTGTGAACCCCACTATCTCCACACTTGACCCTAGATGATTCCATCCAATCTCCTTGACTTCAATGTTGAGGACTCCTAAATTATTTCTCCATTAAGAACTTTTCCTGATCTCCAAATCTGTGAATCAAATTATTTACCTGACAATTTTGACCATGTGTTTCACAGGCACCTTATACATAATACCTCCAAAACATAATTTCCTGTATTTCCACTGCAAATCACCCCTATTCTCCCCCTACCTCAACCAATGACACATAATCTATTCCACAACTCAAGCAAGAAATTTACAATTATTCTTGACATCTTGCTTTCCCTTCCATGTCACAATCCATTAGTAAGTTCTCTTAAATTCCCTGTTAAAATACCTTTAACTCCTGATTTCTCTCTGCTACCACTACTCTTAAATGCAGAACATCAAAAATGTCCTCATTGAACTTCCAAATTAAATACATTTTCTAACGAAAACCAAGGTTTGTCAAAGCTTCCAATGTTTTCTTCACACAAGAATACAAATAGTATAGAGACAAACGCTTTGCAAAAACTCATGCACCCTTCCTCATCTTTATCTTGTTTCACTGTTCTATCTCTCATTTAGGGACAGACCGTAATTGCCTCTGCTTAAAGTACTCTAAGATCTAAGGGCTGTCTCCAGTCCTGCTTTAGTTCTCGGATTAAGGATAACTTCTTGAGACTCCCTTATCCCTCAGCGCCTACAACTGGTCACGGTACATTCAGGTTGTAACCTCAGCACCCAGCACTAATCGAATGCAGAATGGATGTCTGTCAAACATGGTACGGAAGGCTGACGGGAAACATCACAGGCCACGACTTTAAATTAAAACTACTTCAGTCTAAATCAGCACTCAGGGTAACGTGGTAGAAAGACAGCTCGTAGCCCTGCCCTCCTCTCCAAGTTCTGCAATCCCCAAACTCCCAGCCTACAAAAGGGTCACAGAAAAATGCTCAGCGGGCAAGAGGTCAGCAACCTATGCCCTCGCTAGGCGTCCAGGGACACCCTCCCGACTGACTCCAGCGCGGAGCAAGTGAACCCCTACCCCTAAAAAGAACTCGGGAGTCGGCAACACTCACCCTGCACGTGGGTCAGAAGCAGCTCGCCTAGTCAATTCCCGACCGTCGTTTCCGGTTCCTCGGCTTGCCCCGCCYCCTGGCCCGCTTTTTGTATTCTTCCGCTTTGGGCGCTGGGGTTAAGGGGTGGAGCTTAGCGGGAAACACGAAAATTCCTWCTCTTTATTGGTCCGTCTTCGTTACAGCTCATCTCCGGGAGCTAGGGCTGCGCCACACACGGGTTTTGGCCCTTGAAAGGATCCGTCGGGCGGAGGGCGCGTCGGTGGAGCCCGAAAGTGACGTGTTAACCCCGTAGTGTCCGTAACCCGGGAAGATACGGGATTCTCGCGAGGGCTGACAGGTTGTTGAGGACGCGATCTGACGCTGTTGAGAACAGTGAACTAATCTTAAAATATCTAATCTTTAGAGTGGGTTGATTTACATCTTTTTTGAGTAGTTCAGCTCCGAGTATAGACAAAATGTCCATTTTAGGAGTTGGCTTTGAATTGTAATCCCCCCCCYTTTTCCCCATTCTCTAGCTGTGTGGCTCTGGGCGAATTATTAATTTTTTTGGCTTGGTTTCCTAATCAATAAAAGAGAAATGCATCACACATGCAAGACGCTTAAGACAGTGAATGAACTTGAAAAGCTCTCTATAAATGCTTGCCATTTTAAAAATATTCTCGTGTCTGAATCCTGCATATCCCTTTTCTACTTCAAAAAAAACAGAATATTATCCCTATTTTACAGACGAAGAAACGGACAAAACAAACTTATTCGTATCAATTAACAGAACTTTATTCTCTTAACAGTTCTGAAGGCTAGGATTCTGAAATCAAGCTTTTGGCGAGGCCAGGTACTTTTGAAAGCATTAGGGGTGAATTCTTTCTTTTAGCTTCTGGTGTTTCATTGGCTTGTAGTGGTATGACCCCATCTCCATCTGTCTTCAAATGGCCCGCTCTTCTGTGTATGTGCCTTCTCTTTCTATTGTAAGAACACTTTCATTGGATTTAGGGCCTACCAGAATAATCCAGAATGAACTCCCAGTCCTTAATTTAATATACAAATAAATATAAATATAAAATATTTAATATAAAAATAAATATTTTTTCCAAATAAGGCCACTTTYACAGGTTCTTATGATTAAAACATGGACCTATCTTTTGGAGACCATGCAACTCACTACAAGTTCCAATGCTTCAATTCTGGAAAATTGAAGCATTGGAATTTGATCCCAGGTGCATAGAGCTCAAGATTTTGCTATCTTCCAATTCATTGTTTTTTGCCTTTGATTCAGCTTGAGACTGAATGAAAGCAATCCCCAACATTGCTTTCAAGGACAGGTGTCATGCTTACTTCCCAGGCACCTATCCCACTCCTTAGCAATAGATATTTAATAAGTACTTATTGTCTGCTTTGTTACAAGTACCTTTATATTTCACTTTAAGTCTCATCAAAAAATTTTTGAAGTAGGTCTTTTCTCATGAGAAAAGGGGAAACACTAGCATTGATCCTGTGAGCCTGACTGAACATGGCTGCCTCTGGATTGTGTTTTCTAATCCATTAATTCTTTGGTAAGTGCTCAAGAGAATATGGAACAAAATTGCAGGAGATCCACAGCAGTACCTGTGGGTAAATAATGTAATAGTGTAGGATATTAAATACCTTGAAACTTCTGATAAGCAAATTCTGGTCTACAACATGTACACTGAGAAAAATAAGAAATCATATCCCATCTATGTATGACATATCAAAGTGCATAAATGCATTGTACTGTCATATATAACTAATTAAAACAAATTTAAAATTTTTAAAATCAAAATACACCCTACATCATTATCCTGGGAAGGGGGTACATTTGTGTCTTCTACTCTACAGAAAGTACCATCCTTARCCTCATAGACACACTCAAGTGGGTCCCTTAAAAATAATACACCAAAAACATACTTTTTATTTGCCTTTCACCAGGGAAAAGAAAAAGTTATATACCCAAAGCCCTAGGTTGTTATTAATAACATTCTTACCAAGTCTTCTGTGCTGTCAAAAATTTGGTTTGGGTAAGGTTGTTGTTATTTTGTTTGTTTGGAGCAAGCAGAAAGTGTCTTGCAGTGTTACAGAATAGCACAAAGAAGATGTATCCTGTAATTTTGATTTTAATCCAGTAGGCCCACCAATTATTCAAATATCTACTGATCTAAATGTAGACCACTATGTGGATTCCTAGAAGCATAAGATGYTCTTCTTGCATGTGGAATACAGTTAGATTTAGAGTAATTAGATTTATATACATCTAAGAAGTTAKTGACAGTACTAGTGCTATGCAATTAAGAGCATTGGCAAGTGGATCTGACTTACAATTCTAAATTTGTGTGGTAACAGAAAATAGAGTTGACTTGTGTGGACCTCAGTTTTTGCATATATAAAATGGATATAATAATGCTTATCTTTTGGGTTGTTGTATGGCCTCAAAGTGGTAATATACATGAGATTCTTAGTCAATAGTAAATGTTGGATGATTCATGGTAGAGAGAATCAAGATATATCCACTAGAAATGCTTTTGACTACAAGTGATAGAAAGTTCAGCTAATAGTGGCTAGAGCAATTACTTTCTTCACACAACAAAAATTCTGAAGGTAGTTGTTCTAATTCGGTGACTCAATAATGTTATCAAAGTCCCAAGATCTTGCAGTTTCTATCTTCAATTACCATCCTCAACATGTTGACTTTTTATTATCACWTCTGTTGGTTTCTGACTGCCAGATGTGCTCCTGAGTTTCAGGATTTATATCAGAGATTGGGGCTAGGGAATGAGAAAAGGGATGAAATCTACTTTTTGTCCTCCAATATGGCTCTGTCCTCACTCCAGAAGGAAAAGACCCAGCAGGGATCTCCTTCTATTTCAGTGCCTAGAACTGGCTCACCTGGCCACTTCCAAGATAAAAAGACCATCAGATATAATATTAACCAAAAATTTGGATTACATTCTTTTTAGAGTACTCTGATAAAATTAAAGATCATTTGGTAAATATTCTTCCATACAGCAGCAGAGATTTAATGTGTAACTTAAGCAAACATGGTTTAAAAGTTAAAATAACTGTAATATCCAAGGTGATGGATCTCAATCTTGATAGTATCTCAAATCACCTGTAGATGCTTTTTATAAAGATATTAGTAATTCTCATTATTTTTACGATTGTAAAAATATTGGTATTGGTATWGAGAATTTGGGAAGTTCCCCAGGTCTTGCTAATATACAGCCAAAATTAAGAGCTACTTGTTTAAAAAATGGGGTTAAAGTTGTTGATTTGATTTTATAACTAACTTGTGAATTAAATATTGCAACCTCACAACCCCTCTTTTTATTGCAGTCACTAAAATTAAGAATTAAATGTATAATACACTTTTTTGTGTAAGTATAATGTCTCAGACATAATTATATCTTTCTTGTTGCTTATAGTTTCCTATTGATGAAATACTATTAGATATTGAAAATTTGAAATATATGCTTCCAAATATATTCTGGAAGATGTTTGCTTCTTTTTTCAATTCCTTAGAATTTTGTGCAATTTTCTATTTTTTGTAAAAACAAAATATGTTAGTGTCAGCTCCCACATATTCCCCTCCCCACAATCAGTTATAATTAGTGTATTTTTAACTAATTAAGATTGTTTTTCTATTCCCAAATGCATAAGCACATATAAAGGGCATGTTGTTGATATAAAGCATAAATAAGTTTTTGGCAAAGATTGGGTTTTATTTTCAGGATCTATTAGAATGATAAATCCATGGAAACAGAGCAGTTGCCAACAATTTTTCTCTTAGTAAAAAAGAACTGCTTCTGAATAGGGTACATTATGCTTTTTCAATACCATAAATTTGCTTTAAAAATGCACTAATATAGTCTAAACATTAATTGAGCATTCGTAATGTTCTGGTTGCTGTCTAGTAAACACAAAATTAACCTCACCCTAATACTCTTTCTTTGGTGACTCGCTTGAGAGCAGCAGAAAAATTGTATGGCCAGGATAAAAGTTTATCTGATTGTAGGTAACAGAGAAACAAAATAAAAATTAGTTAATATCCCTTAAAGTTCACAAATTATCATTTATACATAGCACATTTATATCATACCGTGATTTTGTAAAGTCGTAGTCACGTACAAGCTGTTTTTTGTAATCTAGAACAAGAACAATTAACATGTTTACGGCTTACCTTTTTGTTTAAATTTTACTTTCAGGCTCAATATGAGCAATTTCCTTTGGAAAATAACAATTAGTTTTATCTTGTGATTTCCTTAATTTATGAACAATAAAGACTGCATAACTAAGATATATTTTATTAGGCTAACAAATAAGAAACTTGTCTTTTCAAATATGAAAAGAATAATCAGTATTTTTCTAATTATTCTTCCCATTTTGCTTTTAAATAAACTATAGAAATTTTAATTTGGTCATTAGCATAATGACCTAACCCTACCTATTTACCTACTCAACTTACCTCTTCCTTTTTAAAAAAATATTTTTTTAGTTGTAGATGGACACAATACCTTTATTTTATTTGTTTATTTGTATGTGGTGCTGGGGATTGAACCCAGTGCACACATGGTAGGCAAGTGCTCTACCACTGGCCACAAMCCTGGCCCTACATCTTCCTTTTAAGATTAAGAAAAATATTAATTGACTTATCCAAACTCATTTTATCAGTTTGAGTTCTCCAGAAAGCAAATTCCAAGACAGAATTAAGAGGCCCAGAGATTCATTGTGAGAAAAACGAATGAAGGGCAAGTGGGTAGGGGAAAGGAGTCAGTGGGGAGAGTCTCAGACTGTGATGTGCATCTGACAACTGTGGAGGGAGAGATGAAAGGAAGATGTGTAAAAAGTCTTCAGACTACAGTAAAACTCTCAGAAGGTCTTGGCTAGGCCAGCCTGGAACTCTAGAGTAAAGATTTCCTTTGAGAGGAGGATATTCATACTGGCTAGGAATGACCTCCTTCTACTTCCCCTGCACAGTCATTGGAGGGGAGGAACCCAGGAAGGATGTGGCCTCAGTACAGT